TTTATTGTTTTAGTCATCCGTGTGTCAGGGCTTAACTGACAAAGCCGATGAGTATATTATACAAACAACTCATGGCCGCTTCTCAACTTCGTAAAGTCTTTGGCGAAAATCATAAATCCCTCCTCCTGAAGCCTTACAATGTTGGAAAAGAATGGTCATTAGCAATCCTGATTTAGTAACTATGATGTTTTCGACTTCAACTGCCCGAATCTTATTGTAAGCTTGGCGTCCATCACTTTGTCAGCAAGCATAGCGGAATGTGAGGGCTTTACAGATAAAACTATTAGTAAAACTTCTTAAAGAACCGAGTTCATTCTTCAGTTTGATCACACCGGCAATCAGTTAGTCTGCTGACTGAAAAAAACAACACGATAATGTTCCCGCCCACATAAAGGGCTCAATAGCGAGTTCGAATGAAGTCCTACTCGTTCATTCCACTGTTGCACTCAACAATAATAAGGAATGTGACAACTTTAATTGAAGAATATATATCCTTCCTCAAGTAGTTAAGCGAAAGTACAATAAAAGCAGGCGACATAATTTTATGCCTGCAGGTCATCCCTCTGTTTATTTCTGTAGAGATATATTTTGCAAAACTGTGAAAAAAAATGGACTTTGAGTTTTCTCACGTGGTTATCTTTGCAACTGCTTTGCTCAACCTATTAGACTTATGTCTACAAACCGCGTGCTACTTCGCCCAAGAATACTTTAAACTACTGAGAAGAGTCTGGAGGTTATTTTTGACGAGAGCCCAATGCAAAATTCAGAAGCTACGGCGGCTCCATCACTTAACTCTAACTTGTGGATACGCTATGTGGATGATGTATTTTTGCTATTGATTTACGGTCTGTTGGAAACGCTCCGCGAACTTTTCAGTTAAGCATTTTCAGGAAGTACGTATACATTCGAAAAGGAAGTTGATAAAAACTCTCATTTATAGATGTCCACGAACAGTGAGAGACCAATGGAATATTGCGCACACCAGTTTGTCACGAAGACTAACACACGGCAATAATTCTGTACTACAAGAGTAATCGCTGCGTCTCGCATTAAACGGAGCGTCGTCAGTACTCTACTCCATCAGATACTCGGATATGTTCTTCCACACTTTCACAAATGTAGCTTTAAAACAATAAATAAGGTCAGTACACAGGCCTGGGACTATATCCCGAGAGAAAAGGTGCATTATTTGACCTTGTTTTCACCAAAAGTACCGGAAATTCCTACAAGCAATGCATTTAGACGTGACGCGCATGGAGAAGCTCATTAATTTGTGTACTGCGTATAAATTCTCAAAGACAACTTGACACGAACGCAGTTAATTATAACCGGTTAAACGAGTGCAGTGCACACGTACTGCCGCGAACGCCATTCTGCCGCAGAGTCTTTTAGGAAGGGTTTATTATTTAAATACTGTAGGAGATAGGCGTACACCGATCAAGTAGAGGACACATTTATCCGTCCATGGTGCCTTTAGAGCTCACACTGGAGCCTACACCGCAAGGCGGCTGATAATATAGGCTGAAGGACCCTACCGACAAAGGCAAGATAGACTAGGAGGGCCATTTCTGGCTTACTAGCCGTCGTTAGCTATTCATACCCAAACTCAAGTGTTGCCCCAGAAATGGGTGTCCCGCTCGAGTTTCGAGCACGCGACCTTGTTAGTTGGAAGTCTAACGCTCTAACCACTGCGCCACGGGCTTGTCATCTATACAGTTGACAACCCGTTGAAGCACCAGTTTCAGATGCAATCTCAATTCCCAAAAGGACGACTCTTAGGTCTGTAATTTCTGCCTCAAAGGCAAATAGCCTGGTTAATGTGTTTATTCTTCCCTTTACATCGGAGTGACCGTGTTTACATTTCTGTCGGGATTTTGTGCTTCACCTGGTAAATACAGCGGTACCTATAAAACGAGTTATTATAAACGCCGTCCTTCTCAAATGCCATCCAGATTTTTTGGTCTCATTATCATTTATTTTCACGTGTTCTGCTACAAAATAAATAGAGTTCGAGTTAGTTATCGATTATTCTGCAAACTATAGTACAGGGTGTCATTTTATTTCAATTGCATCGTGAAATGACTTAGTTTAGCTGATAAACTAATGAACTTAATTATCTCATGGTGAAACATGACATGTGTGTTCCCTAAACGGAGATCACAATATCATCCTATTCATGTGGGAAACGTCGATTTGATTTTTAC